GTGATAATGCAACAAGTAAACTATCGAACACAATTGCATTTTATGCACTTGAGTTCATGCGCCACATGCCCTTGTGAAGCTGGCCTCTTTAGAGCAATTAATTTAGAGGAGACACTACTGGCAGTGCAGCATTTCACATTACATATTACAACATTCTAATAAAATGTAAGGTTAGTTGGACTGTTCAAGCAAATAAGACCTCAGAGAGCACTTTCCCATGGATGACTTTCAAATGTGCTTCGTGCAGCTGTGTACCATGAGCATCCGCACATTCAAGTCATCACAGACATGCCATGCCTCGCAAAAGTATTCACCCCACCTGCAAGATTTCCACATTTTATTACTGTCTGAACATGTACGACACTTTATATTTATAATCTATTTGGTCTGCTCCAAACTGAAAAAGCTAAGTGCTGATAGCATGCAATTACATTTCAAAAGATTCTCAATTGCCGAAATTTTCCATCTCTCTACTACAGCAACCCTAAATTACTTGAGGGTCAAAAATATAAAATAAAGGTCACATAATGTTCTCAGTATTCATGTAATTAAAGTGGTTTAACTGGACTTTAAAGTAAATGCATCCATCTCTCAAATACTGAATTATGAGCCAAACTCACACAGTGATACTGACTAACAACCACAAAGAAAGGAGCTTTCTGAGCTAGTCAGGAATAAAGTGGTATTGAGGCACAAATCACAAGGTTGCTTACCCTTGGAGTACAATGAAATCTATCATTACGAAGTGGAATAGGCATCGCAACACCTAGGTCTTCCAAACTGAGCAACTATTTAGGCAGGAATCGGATCATGTTTGCCAGTGTGATATGGGAGTCACTCTATATACATCTAAACGTCCTTGTTACTACGCAAAGCAGGCCTGTATGGGTGAGTGGTAAAAAGGAGCCTTTGCTGAAAAAAACAAATCCTTTCTGAAATGTATCATTTCAGATGGGGCAGGAGGTTTTTATGGTCAGTGGAGTAAAAAATGGACCTTTCTGGTCTAAATGCAAAGCGTTCCGTGTGTTGCAAACCCAACACATTGTCACCCTGTCAGCACCATCTCTGCTGTGAAGCATGTTGGTACTGTATCAGCACCGTGCTATAGGGACGCTACTGATAAGCACCGGAGTTACAGGAGAATCTAAAACTGGGTAAAAAATTCCCAGTTTCTGCAAGAGAATACCTGATAGACAAAGCTGAAACCATACTATACTGGTCTGACAAGAAGAGCTTGAATGTCTTTGGGTGTCCCAGTGAAAGTCTTGACTTTCTAGTAGCACATTTATGGTGAAGCATGACCATCGCAGTCCCTGTACAATCCCCAAAGAACCCGTCTGGACTGGAGCACCTCTCCCAGGATGAATGGGCCAAATACCACCATCCCAGTGTGCAATTCCGGCAAATGCCTTGCTAGAAACACCAAGAGTAATAATTGCTGCCAGAGGTGCTTTCACCTACTAACTAGCTAAGGGGGCTGAATACTTACAGTATACATCAGTACATTTAGCTTTATATGAGTTCTTTGCAGGATCTTTTGACATTGAACCTGTTTCACATATAATACTGTTCAGCTTAGTCATTTCATTTATGAATAAAAAAAGGTTAATAAGCAAATTACATATAAATATTAATTTGACAGTAACTAATACAAATGTGTACATTATTGAATAGGCTGAATACTTTTGCAAGGCACTATAAGTGGTGGTTGCAGTGAGCTTATGTTATCCATGGTAAAGTGTTTGGATGAACTGTGAGCCCAAACTATTGCTCCAGGCAGCACAGTTTTCACAATACACGTGTTTGAATATGCCAGTTAACATTTGCAAGCTTTCTGTTAATTGCGTTATATTTCATCATAATTACAGCAATGGGTATGTTGTGTCTGCACATCATGGCAGAACTCGGAGAACTTTCTTCCTGTATTGAAAACGGCAATGGCGCCAGTTCCATCTGTGTGCAGTTCATTCTGGGCAAGCTATACATCGCCTCCATTGAACCCAGTAATGACTTCTGAGCAATTTCTGGCTGCTTTCTGGATTCATTTTCGGATTCCCAGCACATCCACTGTTTGACATCCGTCTTGTGTGAAGCATGTGCATATGGCCCTCAGTGGGACACTTCCCCCTGTCAGGGGGAGAGACCCAGGACATTCCTTCCTGCCCCGCGGTGCAGTGGGGACTGGACAAAGACCCTGTGTGTCTCATTCTCAGGCCTTTGCCATTGCAGAAGATAGAGTTAGCCAGGGGGGTCTGAAATAGAATTAATAACCTATACTATATTAAAGAAACAAATCCCATCTAATTAGTGCTGGGCACGTGCTGGATTCTTGCTTCCTTCTTTCTAGTGGGATAAGTTCGGACAATGTAACCTCAGTGCCGTAACCTATTAAAATGTCCAAAATCTTATCTTTAAATATAAAATATCTAGATTTTGTGGGTAATACCTAATATAGTTTTTTTTTCCCTGTAGAAGTACAGGGCTCTTCTTGGAAAGTTTAAGGTTTGAATTTCCATAGCTTCTCTGCAACGCCTCCACCCTTCCCATCCATGTGAGTTTTTTACACACACAGGGGATAACAGCTGAACAGCTGGATGGCAGCTGTGCTACAGATGAGGCTGCAGAATCTCCTGTCAAGGCTGGATTGTGCTATAAAGCAGGGGTTCCCATCCCTGGTCTTAGGAACTCCCACACTTGCTTGTTCTCATTCCAGCTGAGCACTGTTACATGCTCGAATCCTTACGAACCCCAATAGTAGAATTAAGCTGAACTCTTTGTTTTCAGATCTTAAACATGCTGAAAGTTGCCTTTTAACTGTTGCATTACGTACAGTAAGGAACTGGAAACCCTCCAACTTCGGTCAGGCACCTTGTTAATTCAGTTACGTAAAAAGCTCAGCTGGAATCCAAATGAGCAGATGTGAGGATCCCCTGAATTATCAATAATAATGATGAGGCAGTTTTCATTGGTAGTATTTATGTGCTGAGCAGTAGAAGGATAGTGCAGGTACTGCCAAAATAATACATTAATAAAATTACAATATTGGCATTAATTGGAAGAGTAATGGAAGTGAAGTGCAAACAGTGTAGTAGACAGATGTTGTGTATACAGTGCAATAATGTGCAAATCTTATTGTGTATACCTTTTGTACAGTAAATAAGTGCAATTAGCAAGTTACACTTGCCAGTTCAACAATTAAAAGTATTCATGCAATACAGTGCAAGAGCTATTGAAGGATGTAGTTGAGGCTGTGTGATGTAAACAGATGTCTTTAATCTTCATTTAAGTTTTAGCAATAACTGAAGTAATGTTTAATACTTTATATAATAAAATATTATTGAAGTAAAAAAACTTGTACAGACCACACAAGCTGCATTAAGAATGTGCTTCACCATACTGACAGCTCTACAAATGATTGTTTGCAGAACAACAAACATATTAAAGAGCTGCATTTCTTAAGCTCTTAAGTATCTAATTGTCTGTTAAACGCAATCAAGCTAATTTTTTTTACCCACTGTCTCAGGCTGTTTTATTTTCTTTTGAATCATGATGATACAATAAATGCTGCTTTCAAGATTGGAATAAGCGTCCCATTATTATGAAAGATTGTGCATTGCATTCACTTAAAAGAATCTTGCTTTCGTACCTTTTTCGTACCAACATTTCTGTCTGTAACAGATTGGAATCATGCATTTTGTTTGGTTTGTAGTGTTATTGGCATCCCACTGTCCCGTTAATGCTGTGCCTGCATGGAATACACATTTACTGCAGATACAGGAATCTTTACATTTTCACAAGCAAATAATCGATTATTGAAGGCTGGAGAAGCTAAAACATTTTGCTTTTTCCATACGGAAACTTTCTCTCTTTATTTTGCTGTCTGAATGAAGTTGTTTATTTACAGTTGAGCAGCTATATGCTTATTTATGATGACTGCTAGGAAAAATGTAATTTACAATTACTACTCATAGCAGGTACCCATTATGACCTAAAGAAAAGGGTTTAAAGAAGTGACTCTTGTTTCTAGTAAAATTCATGCCTTCCTGTTTCCTCGTATACCCGCTTCTGTGCTGATCCTGAGGTAGCACAGAGGGTTGGTTTTTGCCAGCACTCTTTTAAGCAGTTGCATCAAGTTGTGTTTGTAAGCTACAGTACGCAGCAATTGTTGCTAAAGCTAATCCCCTGGCTTTTTTCAGGAAATAGCTAGATGAGATCCTTGGATCAATTTATCTACTAACTACCAACAGGGTTAGATGGAGTGAATGGCTCCCCTTGCTCATAACCGTTCTTATGCTCTTGAGTAGTGTGACTGAAGAGACTGCTTGCATTTCAGTAGTTCAGTCAAATACTATCTTAAGGCAGAGGGGAAGTGAAATTCTAATTGTGACCAAGCATTGTCCTTCATGCCTTAAATTTTAAAGGGTTTTTTAGTGCATTGTTAAAGCTTTAAAACATGTGTTCATTATTTAGTATTTAATGTTGGTTGGATTATGTTTGAACAGTACCTTACAACTGTGACATTGTGAAGTGCAATAAAACAGTACCTTAAACACTGTCACCCAATAATATACAGCAGTCTCCTCTTAAAGTCTGCAGACTATCTCAGTTCAATTAAAGTGAAGTAAATATTTATACGCTACCTTGCAATAACAGGCCTTTTTTATAGATAGACAAATCTTTCAGTACAAGCTGTGAAATGGAACTATCCATCTGTAGACATTTGCTGTGGTACAAAACTAAATAAAAATGTACTATTACCGCTCATTACAAAGTTCTGGATTTTCTTGAATAAAACATATAGCTGTAAAGGGTCCGAATATTATATTTTCAGCCGGGTGATGGTGCCTTTTTTTCCACACTTGCAGAATTTTTGCATATGCTCTATATAGTTTGCTTATGGATCTGGTTTGTCTGTACCAAATTGTACTGCAGAAAGTGGATTTAATTGAATGCAAAAAAAAAACCTTTTACAGCGCTAACTCTTCTGTTTTCCATTTCAGGTCTGACCGATGAAAAAGTAAAGGCCTACCTTTCCCTCCACCCCCAAGTTTTAGATGAGTTTGTGTCTGAAAGCGTGAGCACAGAAACAGTGGACAAATGGCTGAAGAGAAAGAACAGCAGACAGGAAGGTAAGAGTGTGGATTGGTGGAGAAGAAATGGGGTTATACGCAGCATGGAGTTGCCCAAGAACCCTTGTCATGTTTTGGCATGATGCTTTCATTATGTCAGGAAATTTGTACATCCTAACTAGTCCTAATATACTACTAATACTAACACACAATTGGATGGTGGTGAGAGGGATCTCATCAATCTCAGGGGATATGGCATCATCGTCATTATACAGTATGTGCCTGGCTAAGCATGGTAGTATGACAGTAAGCATAGATGCTTCACAACTCTTGGGCACTCTTGGGTTCAGTTCTGGCCTGGGCTTCCTCCTGTCTTGAGTTTGCATGTTCTTCTTTGGCTGTGTGGGTTTTTGTTGGGTGCTTTGGTTTCCTGCCACAGTCCAAGCATAATGCTGTTGATGTAAATTGGGATCTCTAAATTGTTGTTTGTATGTATGTGCATGTACCTTGTGACTATATTGGGCTAAGGGGTTATTAAAAATAGTTGAATTTTCAACTAATTTCAACTTTGGACAGATGTTAGTGATTTTGACATCTTTCTGCACGCTTTGGGTGGTAATCATTCATGAAGCTCTGACTGAAGGCCGGCATGCTGCAGCCAGCTTCATTGCATTTACTCAACAGTCCATTTCATTTATACTGAATAGGGGATGAAGAGCGATATAGAGAAATCAAAGCAGCTGTATAAATTGACTTAGTACAAGAAATGAGTACAAGCCTTTTTTTCCCACACATACACATGCATTTGACAGAACAAATATAAGCCGGGTGTTAAGAGGAAGGAAACAAAACTTTGAAACGAGCAGTTAACCGAAACGTAAGCATTACCTGTACAACACTGTTGGCAGGGACACATACCTTCAATCTACAATTAAAATCTCTTGTTCCACTAGGAACAGTTTTCCCCTCAGGTAGTTTACCTAAAAGAAGTGGGCCAGGAAATTTATTTTAATGCTTTTCTGTCTATTTTTAAACTTTTTTCCACTTAATGTATGCATCTGCTTTTACAGTTTACCTCACTAAATAACTATGCAACATGGTATCCAGCAGTAACAAAATGCTTGGATGGAGCCTGATTTTTACGGCTTGTTAAATGTGTTTGTATTGGTTGGAGTCTCTGTATTCTCTCAAAGGCAGAAAACTGCAACATGGATAACAGACCTACCACAAGTCTGCATCCATCATGTGGTTTTGTTCCTGGCTCGGGGCTGTGTGTTTAAGTTTCTGACGTCAGCATGGACTCCAGGGGCATCTTGGGGGGCAGCATTCTGGATGCCTTTTCTAACTGAATGCTGTGTCTACTCTGAGCTCAGTTATTTGGGCTTTGGAGTGTAATTTGAAAGTCTACATTAATTAACTGCTAGCTTTCTGCAAAATATCAGCTTGTTTTAGGATTTTTGTGTTAAATTCCATGGATATTAATAACCTCTAAAAAATTCAAATGCCATTTCTGCAAAAGCGATTTTTACTTTTCTCATTTAAGGTGTTGTTGACTGTACAGTTTTCATATTTTTTTCCTTTTTTTCTACTGGTCTCATTTTTCCACAGACAGGGCCTGCCTTAGAATTGCATCCATTTCTCGCCAGCATTCGTTTTATCAAACATAGTAGTCCTGACGCTAGCAGTTAGTATAATGAGTGAAATTATATATAATTTGTCAGTAACAAAATGTCGAAGCATTGCTTGGAGGTTGTGGAAAAGCATTGCTGTAGGAATGTTCAATGGTCGTTGTGACTGAGAGAGGGTCTTGACAAGCTATGTATGTTGGTTTACAAACAAAAATAGTAAAATAATACTTGGAATCAGACTGCCCCTTCATGTAGATGACTTTCGGTCACTGGCTATTCTGCACAGAGATATAAATAACATAACACATTTAAAAAGAAAGGTGACAATAAAAGAATATTACCTTATCCGAGAGCTGACATAAGAGTAGAGGTCTCCTAGTCTCCTCTCAGTAAATGTACTTTATTGCATTTGCTTACGTATTGTATATCAGTTAATGCACAAGAAATGCTTCTCAGAAATTTCTTCCATTTGACTATTTCCTAATGCAGTTTATATTGACCATCTCAATATAAAAACGGCTTTTTGAAAAATGTGAAATGGAAAATGTGTTGTTAGCCTAACATTATTGTGTTTGCACAGACAGCATCCATTTTTCTGAATATAACTTTATGAGTGTTTTTTAGGGGCATGAATAATGTTTACACAGAATACTTAGTGTAATGATTTGAGCTGTGTGAAAAAAAACAATTTATCATTAGGATTGTTTATACATGTGCTTATTTCAACATGATGTTGTCATTTGTAATAGGAGTTTATTTACAGGATTTTGTTGTCAAAATAGATATGTTCTTCTTTGTCGGCTGTTAATGATAATTATTCAAATATTCCAAATGCTTTTCGATACTCACCTATGTCTAAGTAACTTTTGCAAATCTCTCTACAACATAACATTTGTACTGTACCCATGCACAATGAAGGAGAGATGAATTCCTTGCATTTATATTGTTTTTCCCTGCAAAAAGAGTTTATACATATGGGAGGGGACCTACTTATTGATCACTGAAGAGTAACACCCAGCTGGGTGATGTATGGCAGCCATTATGAGGCAGATCCAGGGGTGTAAAGAGACAGAAAAAGTACCTCGCCAATGGAATTTAGGAGGGACCCTTTGGCTAACACTCCTACTCTTTTAAACAGTGCCATAGGTTTTTCATCACCCTTGGTTCAATCTTTCATATGAAGGTCATCACGATGTCCCCAGCCGCCATATTGCCGTATTGTTTTGGGAAATTGTAGCCCAAAGGGAGCAGTGCCACTTAATGATCCACTGGTTTTGAGCTTGGTCTCTACTGGTGCTCAGGAAGCTGCAAGGGCTGTTGTTCCAGTACTTCCAGTCTTACCATCAGGAGTGCAGATCTGCTTGTGATTTGTCACTAGGAGATTCCCTTTCGTAGTTCGCTAGTGACATGAATTGGGCTCCAGCTGCTTTTGGTATGAGCAAGATCTTTTTAATTTTGGAGCCACTTGTCTCGCCTCCATGTACGAACATAATTCTGGGATTTTTGTGATTCTGTAACGTTGGCCACACAGGTACATATTTAGTGTGGTCCCTTAAATGGAAGGCTTTTCGGTTTCTGCAAAAAAAGGGTTGGGGACTGATGGCAAAAAAGCTGCACTACAAATCTGGGTGCTTACTTTATGTATGTTAGCATATGTAATGTAACATAAAATAGATTAAATGTATTTATATGGGATGGTTTAGGCTTTCAGGTCGCTACTTGTACTTCCAGTCACATTGGATAAGATTGTCTTGCACTTTACATTGACATTGACCTTTTTTAAATTGTATAATGTTAGCATGCCCAGAGGGGTTGGGCAGCTTTTTTGGTTCCTCACCTCCATTGTCTTCTGGTCTTTTCTGTTCTGTGTTCACAATATGTATGGTCACTTGCTTTGTTAAGTGCCTTGGGGCAACCTTGTTGTGAAAGGTGCTATATAAAAATAATTGAAGAGACGAATGAATGGGCTGTCCCACTGGTAAGCAGTAAACGCAAGCAGGGATGTTCAAGCTATATGAGTGAATGATAGTAGAAATCTGCTAATAAAAAACTGTGAAGGCAGATGTCTTTGAAATTGCAATCAGAATCAGAGCTAAAGACCTCTTTGTCAAAATAAAGGGGAAATGTACATATATTCTATCTCTGTAATATGTACTATATGAAAGAATTTGTATTGAGCTCTTGAGGTTTCGTAGCATCTGACACAAGTCTTGTAGTCTTTAGAATGCAGTAATTGCACAGAATGATTCTGAGGAAAAAAATCCTTAGCTCCCTTTTTTGCTAGTGGTCACTGCTGTCTTGAAAGGAGGTGCTCCCACTTCATGGAAAGCAGATGTTAGTGAAATGATCGGAGTAACAGCACCCTGATCTGGCATGGTCTCAAGAGAAATTTCCCATAGCTGAAGCACAGGACACTAGACTGCTCCAGGACGTCAGTGTGAGGCTCAAGCTGATGGCCTCCTTCAAAGCATTTTTGTCCTCAAAGGACTGGAGCTGAAGTGTACATGCTGATCCCAAGGCAAGGCTTGATAGAAAAAGAAGATTGTAAAAAAAGGCAAATGCACACAACCAGATAGGAAAGGAGGAAAAAAGGGGATAACAGGAAAGAGTGGATGATATAGAACGGCCGTTAGGAGCTACGGTATGTGCTCTATCAAACTCATAGCACATCCTAGTGCGTGATGTTTTGCTTAGATGCAGTTTACAAAATCCGATGGGTGCAATACTGGAACTCTGGGGGAAGAATAAAATGAAATCTACAACTAACGAATACAAAGACAAAAAAAACATTACTTGTAGAGATGCTTTTCTGGTTAATATATTTGAAAGTAAATGTTAAGTGATGCTGGGACATGTGGATCATGGACCAGATATTTTAATCACCCACACCTTTTAGGAATCTGCTATGCCCAGCAGAGACTGGGCCGGGGAAAAAAGGAAATGACAGTGTTTTATACGTGGCAATATTCCAGCAATAATGTGAATTTTAGGAATCAGTCTTGTCCTTTAGCATAGCCGATCCATCAAATTGTGTATTGTTCAGCAATAACCTCAACTCTGTGGGTTTTAAAACATAAGTGAACCTCACATCTGTATTTATTTCAGATATAAACTTAAATGTTTTTGGCAGCCTTTCGTTCTCAATGTCTGTGGTTGTAGATATCCTCTTTCATTTTATTAAAGATTTCAAGAAACACTATTTCTTCTCAAATTCAATGAACATGCTCATTTCTGTGTTTTCATGTTGGCTGTCTACAGTGAGTAAAAAACATGCACGTAAATGTGCAAGAATTGCAGTTTTAGAGAGAACTGGTAACATTTATACATTCTAATTTAGACCTTGAGATATAGACTGCTTTATAAATGCAATGTAGTTGTGAGACTTTTGCTGATAGATAAACAACATGTTGTGATATTTGGTATAAATCAAAT